TTGCCATTAATTTTTTTGCAGACATCATAAGGTTAATATAGAGGTCTGACAATAAAGGACCAATTACCAATCAAGTGGTTAATATGATGTCTTCAAATAGTATGGTTTTTTTTCAGTGAATGGGGAAAGTAGGACCCAAAGGCAGGACTCTCTACGTTGAACATTTCTCCCAGTGTCCATGGTCCGTGTTTCCATTCCCTTTGCGTCTGTATACAGTGCATGCAGTTTTTCCTCTTGTTTCTGCAATACTCCTGGAAATCACAGAGGCAGCGGTTAGTAACATCCATATCGGCGGCAAACTCAAACACTCAAACAATCTCACAGCTCAGCCACTCTGTTAAATAACTCCCTAGACGAGGCTGATCAGCAGCAGGTGCATGCGATTACGCTTTAGGTGCGGCAGGTCTCACGGTGGGAAAAACAGCCTTCAGGCCTGGAATCCCAGGAAAACCAGGACACTGACGCACAGAAACACATACACACACAAATATAAGGGAAAACGAGGGACATCACACAATACACAACCATTGCAGGTCACCCGGCGAGGAAAGTGGACAGTTTTAAGAAGCAACAGGTCATCAGGCATAAATACACAACTAACAAATGTACAAATATTGAAAGGTAATTAATTCTCATCTTTGAGGGTCTGTCTGTGTTTTTGATCGTTCAGCTTACTGATTTATTTAGTAATTAATTCATAATTTAAAACAAAAGTATCCCCTTATTATTGTGTGTGTTTTTGTTTTTTTCAATTTAATTTCAATTAAATTTATATAGATTAAATCACAACAACAGTCATCTCAAGGTGCTTTATATTGTAAGGTAGACCCTACAATAATACATACAGGTTATCAGCATTTGGAAATTTGGTCAGGCTTTAGTTTGGCTCCTCTTTCTCTCTCTGTGATTCAAATTCAAAGAAAGTTAAGTTTGTTTATTGTTGCTTCCATCTATGCGTGGCTCCCATTCATGTCTCAATTAGACATGCTCTCCTTTCTCTCTGACGTCTGCCTTGTTACCATCAGAGATGAGCTTATCTGACCACTCACTCAGGTCCTTGCATTGGCCCACACTGGCCAACAAAGGCGGAGTAAATGTGATTTGTGTGTGTGCGCATGCCTGTATTAGATAGCAAGTGTGTGTCCTGGAGGTGGTTGAGTGAGATGCGGAGAGAAACATTAGCCAATGAAGACTTCCTCCACGTCCCTCATAGCCTGCTAATCCCTGACAAGGTGTTTAACCTGCTTGCTTGACCCAAACCTCTGTCTGACCTCCACGACCTTTGCCCCGAGGATGTGAAAGGATCAGCGCAGCCGCAACCACGGCAACCAGTTTGATAAAATCAACACAGGGCTCAGTCCAGAAGCTCTGGCAAATGCGAGCTAATGCTCCAGACTGATTGTTATCAGGCTGACGTGAAGCACAATTTACATTTGTATAGGATATACAGGATTTAAAAAAATACAGATATTTAATCAGGCTAAACTGCATAAAGCAGACTCAAAAACAGCCTTTTATTTCAAAACAGACCAAAGGAACTCAGGCCTGGACCGAGAAAACCTCAAAAGAAAATAATGGTGAGCAAATTGCAGCTTCAGATGAGAGACTTTGCTGCATGTGTTTTAATTTGTCCTCTTTAATGACTTTGTAGGATTTGAAATCTGACATGAACCTCTTTTAAAAACCTCTGTCATTACTCATGACCTTTACTGATGTTGCACAACATCACTTCTGATGAGCGCTTTGAAGAAACCGTACAGCAGTTCATTCAGGAGCGTGTCACTGTGACACTGAGTGGGTGGCAACCACAGTGTCCAACACCTTAATCACAGGATTAGTCATTTGTTATCTGCCACTGTGTTTGCTGAGTGTTGCTCAGTCTTTGGGCAGCTTGTGGCTAACGATAGATTAATACCCGACCTAACTGAAAGTGCTTCCCGCTACATTATGTTACAGCCACAGTTATCCCAGGGATTTCCTCTCAACGACTTCTTAATTTATCAGCAGCAGAAGCAACAGTTCCAATTTTCTCACCTGAGGGATTACTTTACCAGTTCCCAACCGAAAACACTTAACAGGGGAATGTGCTCTGTGTGGATGCAAGCGCAAAACTTTCTCTGATTCTCTTTTCTAGCACTGCTGTGATGCTGCTGGGAGTGCTAGTGTGTGTGTGTGTGTGTGTGTGCGTGTGTGTGCGTGTTTGTGTCCATGCAGCAGAGCGTAATGTGTGAAATCCCCTCAGATACGAATGGTAGCTCCACACCGGGGATTTGCATGGGCAGTGAGCCACACTGTCACTGATCCGCTTTTAATTGGGTGTGACGGCGAGAACTTTGGAGTCTGAGGGGGGAATTGTGTGTGTGTGTGTAAGGTGGGGTAGATCTGGGGTGGTGTGCTTGAGGTGCTGTGCTGTATAATTTACAGTAATTTAATAATTCAGTTGAATCCATTTTTTTTCAGCAGATTATTCATTTTTCCAACATCTTTATGGTTGTAATACAAATATTAGACTGTGTTCTGCTCTTTCAAGACTATAATGTGTTGTATACTAACAAAAGTCTTTGAATGCATATTATGTTTTACCTAATTTACTTTTACCAGCTCATTAAGATGATGTCATAAGATGGCTTCCTGCGTAACTCATTCCCAGAATATAAAACACCTTATTATAGTACATGGCGTTGGTTCCATCCCCAGATGTGCAAAGCACAAACCGATGGCCATAACTTGATGGTAATGGTCAGGCTTTATTTGCTTCTTTAGTAATTAGACCTTCCAGTGTATATTCACATATTGGTTCTAAATCATTTCATAGAGTGCTTTATCTTACTAAAAAAAAGCTATCCCAAAAGCTTTAAAATATCTGCATTCAGAAATGTCTCATTAGCATGACTGAGGTGAATATTTTCTCAGCAATTCTAATATTCACTGCAATGTTTTCATCCTGATTTCTTGAGCCAATCGACTGTCACCTGTTGAAACTTGTATCTATTTAAGTAAGTAAAAAGTGTCAAGACAAGAAAGCAGTGACACAGTGCTTTACAGAGGTGTCAGTAAAATATAACAAACATACTTGAACCAATAAAACAACCAAGAACAGCTTTAAGCTTTTTTTAAGGATATTACAGAGTTGCAAAGTTTATAACTAAGGAATGAAATTCAAAGTCCCTTTTAGCTTTCAGATGGGTAAGTAGGAGCACAAGAAGACCCAAATCTGCAGACCTAGGGACCCGACTTGGAGAATAAAGGTGGAGTATAGGGCTGGGCCATATTATACCGTTGACGGTAATACCGGTACAATGCTAGGCAACGATAAAAAAAAAAAAAGAAATATCGCGATAGAATATGGGTAAAACGCGCATGCGCAGTGCCAAAAAAGCGCGGCAGTAACGGAGAATGAGAATGGGGAAAGCAGATTGTTGAGTGAAACGGATAAACCAAAATTAGTTTGTAAAAATGGTGCAACCTAACTGGTTTGGTGTTTGTCCGTCAGATAGACAACAAAGCACATTTTTTGTAGAACATGCAAGTGGCCGCCGTATTTGTCAGACTAAGATGCTCGTAAATCTGGGAGTAATCTGGGTCCTAAACTCCGTCCTTTAAGGTCCCGAAGTCAAACGAACATCACTGAGAGTTAAAAACTGTCTAAATTCTTCCATCTTTAATACAACGATCAGCGTTGCTGCTTTACCAGGTGTAACTATGATGTTTAACATCCAGGCATCCATGAAAACAGAATTCATTACATTTAACGGAGTTAGAAGTTAGCAGGAAGTTAGCAGAAGTTAGCTCGCTAGTTTCGCTAGTTACCTAAGCATGATATAGCATGTTCTGACTGAGAGATTTCTGAAAAAAATCAGACGTACAGCTCTGCTATCACTTCCAACATAAATGAAGACAGGAAACTAAACAGCAGTGACGTTTGTAGGGTTACTGAAGTTGGGCTAGCTGGTATTTAATGGTGTGCTACGTGATCGCTAGCGACACAGCTGTGTTAGCATAACATAAACAGTGAAGCTGGAGGACGAACGCTAACACTTTTCCACTCGATAAAAGTTAACGTGAAGGTTCCTGATGGTTAGAGACAAATGCAATCGCATGGCAGGATGCTGTAAACGGACCAAACTTCAGTCAGGAGAACAACTGAGATAATCCATCCACAATAGAAGGTTAGTGATTAATATAGTGCAACAACATGGCAATAGAGCAGCTGTGACAGAATACAGCATTAAGGAATCAATGGTACAGAAGTGGAAGAAGCAAGAAGAATGAGTTGAATAAAGTTTTGATTTATCTGACTGCTTTGTTGCCTTATAATCCCGTGCACCTTATGGTCCAAAAAGTACATATTTTACTTTTTTATTTGGTACACTGCAGTTTAATGTAGCAAAGCATCTCTTTTTAACTTCAGTGGATATTATACATGGTTATGCTCAGGATATGTCAGCCCATTTCTACTGGAAATGCCTTTTGGTTAAACTTTCAGCAAGGAATTTGCATTTGCACTGTTAAATGTTTATATAGCTTTAATGCACATAAAAATACAGCTGCTTGTTTAAGTGAAAATAAATGGATGGGGTTTTTGTGCGCTAGTAAAGTTGTGGAGTTGTATTTTGTCTTGCAGAAATTATATCGTCAGTTATATCGTTATCGCAAATTTTCAAATATATATCGTGATAAATATTTTTGGCCATATCGCCCTGCCCTAGTGGAGTATGTCGACAATATAGGTGGGGGACACTCACCTTGTTGGGCCATAAAAGTAAGAACCCAGATTTTGACCTGACAGGAAGCCAGTATAGAACCTTTAAAAACTGGAAGATGTATGAGAAGATTTATGAATAAGAATAAGAAATATTGTGGTCATGTTTTTGTTTTTTTCTTGTTTGTTTTGTTTTGTTTCTTGGGTGGACTCTCAGCTGTGGGTGGGTCTCTGGGCCTGTACCCAGACTGTTCATTGGATAATCCAACTTTTTGTAACATTTTATTACTAATTTATTCATTTGTACACTTAGACGTTGGCTGGTATTTTGATCTATTTTTTTTACTTACTGACCACTCAGCAGACCTGCACAGCTGATATACATGGCAATGCTTTTTATTTAAATGAAACAGTAAAACTTTGTTCATATATTTATATTTTACTAATTGACAGCACACATATGCTGCACCTCTATGTGTGGGAGTGTAATATGTAGTTTTACTTCATTGGGTGGTTATTAGTCCACCCTGCTGAATGGAAGTAATGGGCAGGAGTGTTTTCTTCAATGGTAGCAATAGGGGTTAAAGTGTTTTTTGACCTCTTTGTTTCCCTTACTGTTTGGTTAGATTTAAGCACCAATACAATACCAGAAAGTTCAGGGTTGGTTAATTAAGTAAATAAATGAGTACTTTTATTATTTAAGGGTACCTAATGGCAACATTTATATGACTTAAAAAGAACTCATAAATGATGTTGAATAGGCTCAGATTGGGGTGTGGTGTGTGGTTTTGTCGGCCCAACTGGATATTTTCTGATATTCTCTTATTGTTATCAGGTAGACTTGAAGTGAGGCAACAGTGCTAACCACCGTGCTGCTCGCTTCTATGACAACCATATAAGGAAATTCACTCCTACTGACATTTGTTTAGATTTTGTTCCACAGGTGTTACTTTTATATAAGATGACCTCCATTATTGGAACTTTGGCCATGTTTAATACGTGTATCCACCATTATTCATATTTATAATAGCATGTGTTATTATACTGTTATAGGATCTTTTCTATCCTATGTAAATTAACATTTTACATGGAGATGTATTAATTTTAAATGGCTCCAACATGTCTGGAGCTTTAAAGTTTATTTTTCTGATGAATATTTGAAATAATAACTGCCTGGACTAACTGGTCTGTTTGTCTAATCTTCACTGCAGAATATCAGAGCTCTCTGAACGATTCAGATCTTGTTTTTCTGGTGTAACATCTGCTGCCTCCCCCAGCAGAGCTGTCCCCCGGCCTCGCAGCACTCACAATGGGCTGCGACTCTGGAAATCTGGGCTCCCTGTCCCGGGTTCAGCTGCTCCTCCTGGACCGACCGGCGCCTGAGACTCTTTTGAGTCCCTTTGAGCTGGAGGAGGAGGTGTCCCCGAGGTCCGATCTGACGATGCAGTATGATTCAGCAGGTAAAACATCAGCAATTTTAAGCACGCAAAAGCTAAAAATGCAAGCTGAGTGGAAATGTAAAGACCTTAAATGTTATGAATGGAGGGAAGAGGGGTTGGTGGGTAGTTTGGGAGATTGCAACATAAACCATGGATTTTATCACAACCCTGCACAAACATGCAGATACACCTGTAGCTTGTAGCTTGTTAATGATCAGGGGACACTGAGCCAAAAGAGGAAGTTCAGACCCAAAGAACAAACTCTGACTAACACCCGTTATTTCAGTTAAGATGTTTCTGAACAGTCTGGATCGTTTGTGTAAGAGTGAGAAAGTGAATTGCTTCTGATTTTATTTCTGGTTTTGCATGTTTGTTGTGACTTAAAGGCAAATCAGAGTTGACCGAGCGTAAACCTCCTGCTCTGACGGTTTGAGTGAGATTGTTTGATAAGCAAAAACCGTCACTGTAATAACAGGCAGCAGCCGGACAGGTGTGCCTGTGTGTGTGTGTGTATGTCTGGAGAAAACACATAAGACCTTACATGGGGGGAAAATATGACCCTGAAGGTGTGTTTTCTCCATCTACGACTGGCCTTGAGAGTAAGCAATGCATTTATGGTGTAAATCCCCCCACCCCTCCTTTTTTTTTTCTTTCTTTAACAAGCTGTAATATCGACTCTCATCTGCTCCCAGGCATGCCGCTGCGAGCTCTTAACTGCTTTTCCCTCAAGGTGTGGTGAGGCAGAAAAAGGTTTATAGGGATATCAGGATGTGCCATATTAATAAAGATCAAACCGCTAGAGTGGAACATTAACTGGGAAAGTCCAACTAAGATAGCCAAACACACTTCGAAACAACACTGACACATAACACAGGATAAGAAACTGAGAAGAGTGTGTGCAGAAAACCCCTGCTGATTATAGACCGATAAGGCACCAGAGAGGGAGATAAACACTGTGGATGTTTAAGAGGTCAGTTCAACCCAATCATGAAGAAACATCTCTCATTTTAACTCGACTCTGAGATTTTTGCATCTGTTCAAAAACACTAAAGATCAAGAGAGCTTCGCTCTTCATCGCTTCATCATCTGTCACGTATCTACTACTGGAAGATTTTTTCACATAACCTCATGTTTTGGGGTGGCTGTAGCTCAGGTGGCAGAGCGGATCAGCCACTAACCAGAAGGTCGGTGGTTCGATCCCAGGCTGCTCCAGTCTGCATGCCAAATATCCTTGGGCAAGATACTAACCCCATGTTGCTCTCCGATGCATCCATCGGAGTGTGAATGTGTACGAATGTTAGATACTCAGCATTTAAAACTTAGAAGTGAATGGGTGTGATTGGGTGAATGAATTAGCTGTATAAAGCGCTTTGAGTGCTCAGACAGAGTAGAAAAGCGCTATATAAGAACCAGCCCATTTACCATGTTTGAGTTAATTCTGTTCATGTCTTTTAGACACGAACACTGTTGTGGATTAACAAATGTGACACATTCTGATATTTTAGTGTTAAGATGATAATCTCTGATGGTAACTCAGACCTCAGATGGTAAATTTTTTATAATAAATGAAGCGTGTCTTTGTCCCTCACAGCCTCTGCCTGAGTCTGATTCTCCAGAACGTTTCTTGCTGTTTTTCCTTCCCACTGACACCAAGTGATTTCTCATAACAGGTTGTCTGATTGTTGTGGTTTTCTCTTTACGATTACAGGATCTTTTTCTTACAATATAAAGCACCTCGAGGCAAATGTTGTTGTGATTTGGTACCATATAAATAAAACTGAAATAAATAAATATAATGGCAAGCATTAAACTGATGTGCTTCCAACTTTTGTCCCTAGTTGGGCTTTTTTACCCCTCAGCTTCAAAGGCTTGGGGTATTGTTGTCAGCCCACTGAGCAACCAGGCAGGCAGCATGGACACGCAACTTGGAGAATGAGGGGATGTAGGTTTTTCAAATTGATACCACAGGTCTGTCTACTAGGTCGTGACAGACAGTTTTTTTCTTTGTTCATAGACAGACCTATTTAAACAGACCTTGGCTTAATAGTATTAATGAATTAATAAGCTGTGTACTTTATTGTGAAGAAGAGACATGGGAATCATGTTTTATCTGTACAAAAACACAGATTGTCTGCTTCCCTAACATCCTCCTCTGTCACACAAACCCTCTGCACCTTCTCCTTCACTATACTACAAGCTTCTCTGTGGTCTTCCTCTTTTCTTCCTCCCTGGCAGCTCCATCTTGAACATCCTTTATCCATAATATCCCAAATCCTTGCTCTGTCCAAACCATCTCAGCCTTGCCTCTTTAACCTTGTTTCTAAACTTCTAAACTAGACCTGAGCTGACCCTCTGATGTATTCACTTTTAATCCTTTCCATTCTGGTCCCTCCCAGTGAAAATCTCAGCATCTTCAGCTCGACCCGCTGTCTTTCAGCCGTAAAACGCTGAAAGTGTATTATCATCCAAAGTGCTTGGCAAGCGGGGAGTGCACCCAAGTTTGTGAATGCGACAACTTGAGAACGAGCTGACATAGGGATTTGAAATTCGTACCGTAGGTGTATTTTCTAAAAATACACTGTCTGACAAAATACACTCTCAGACAAGTTCGAATCTCAGCGACCCCAACCTCAAGGTCAGGAGCTCAAGGATAGGATGTCACATGACTTCCAAGCGTTTACTGGGGGAACCACTTGACAGCGTCACAATTTATGATGATCTGTCTTCTTCTTTTGTTGCCAAAATATTCTTCTAAAACATTCAAGACGTTTAGTTTAATTCAGTTATCTGTACAATGGCAAATAACAACAACAGTCGCCTCAATCTGGCATTAGATAAAGACTCAACAGAGTGAAAATCCCAACAATCAGGCAACCTCCTGTGAGCAAGAACCTGCGATGGTGGGAAGGAAGAACTCTGAGTTTCTAACCTGCTAAATTAAATGAATTTTGTCTTCAGTTTGGTAATAAACAGTTAGTTTTGTAGGTTTTCTCAAGCATCCTGAGGTGCCCAGTTGCAGACCCCCTGATTTGCAAAAAGTAAATAAAAGACATTGAGTGGGAAGCTTGAAAACGATGGATCTTGTGGAGACTTGCATCATCATTATCGGTATCATGGCAGTGTTTTTGCTCTTCATTTGGGGGTCAGTCAGAGTTACTCAGTCAGTTTGGTCTTCATGTAATTATACCTTTGACCTCATACGTTTTAAACTGTAACGGTTTGTGGCTTATTTATTTAATCAGAAACAAAATTTCTCTGGAATTCCTTTAAATTGTCTTATCAGTGGAAATCTCCAAACTGGGCTGAATAAAACCATATTTATCTGGCTCGTGCCCAGCATAAAAAGAAATATAATCACCATGGTGTTGTTAGCATTCATGCATCCATGCCTCCGATGTTTACAAAAAGACAAAATCTGTCTGAGTTTTCTGAAAGCCTGTCTTTCCTCTCTCTGTGTCTGCAGAACAATGTTTACACCTGGCACGCTTCTGCAGACAGGTGCTCCTCTGGGGTTTTGTTGCTCCATTTTATGCCATTATTTGCTCAGAGATTAGGAGCCATAATTGGAACTACTACACAACATTACTCATATCTGAGCACACACACTCAAGTACAAAAAGACAAACGCATAGAAGTGTGTGCCAGAGGCCAGCACTTATGTACACAGATGCATGAACACAACTGCTAACACACAATCGCTTCCTCTCCCTCCTGCCTGACGCTGTGTTCTTTGCTGGTTTCGTCAGGTGTTTCGAGGCCGCTCACAGCTGGCAGCGTCTCTGAAAGGTTCAACTCTGCAGGGAAAGTCCAAGAAAACAAATCGGTGAGTGCCGCTGCCCCTTGTGAAACCAGTTTTGGTTCTCTCACACACACACCCAAACACACACACACACACACACACACCACACACACACACACACTCACTCACCCCTCCTTCGTTCATCTATCAGATTTCCTTCAAAAGCAGGACTGTGCTTTGTTGTGAACAAACACTAGACCTTGAGGAATCAGCTACTATCGCACAACAGCCACAAGCAGTGCACACATCCCACACAAAGACACCCTTTTACAAACTTGAACCAGCATGCATTTATAACTGTCATGCCAGTAAGACAAGCCAAATTGTTGATGATAATTGAGACACAATATAACAGAGGGCACGCGGCGTGCAGCAGGTGTGTGGTTAATCAGTCACGCGCTGCAGGAGAAGGGGGAGGCCCGACTGTATGGTAGGCTTTTACACCACCTCATTGGTGTGTCGCTGTGGTGGTGGTGGGGGGTTAGAGCTCGACACGATAGGATTCTTTTGGAGGATGCACCACCACCAGGATCAGACAGGGTTTGATGGGGTGAGGGGTCGGGAGGGTAAACAGGGCTTTTGCACGCTGGGCTGCAGTGGAATGGATGCAGGTGCTCCACGTGATCTACGATTAATCTCCTCTTTATGACAGATGAGAGGGAGCCCCTGAAAAGCATGAATGAGAGCCATAAACCCCCCACAATTATGCCTGACCACGATGGGGGTCTAGCTGGAGTGCTCAGAGCAGGATTCATACAAACATTTGCATAATTCACCTCACTGAAACCAAGTATCCACCCACAGGATTATTTACAATGATGCGAAACTCATAAACCATTAGTAGGTTTTTCAAGATAGAAGCCGTACTGCAAGTTCTTCCTCACGTGCTTCTTCAGAGGCAAACCTGACGTTATTAAAAGTTTTGAACCCACTTCCCTACTTGCTCATTTTGATTACTCTGCTGTGTCTTTGAAGAAAAAAAGGAAGTGCATGTACTAGGTGTTGGTTTTCAGTATTGGTGGTGGGGGCAGGAGGGGGTCCTTTTCTGCATCAATGTATGATTTTTTTTTATAAAGATGGAAACACAAAAATTAGGCAGCAAGTGGCAGCTTACACAGGAACGAGCCATCTGCGTCCCCAACAAAAATCTACACTTAATAATGAAACAGAATTTTAATCTCAGTTTTTGTAATGATACACAGATCAGCCACAATATTAAAACCACCGACAGTTAAAGTGAATAACACCAATCTTCACGTAATGCCCAACAAAAAACAGTTAAAGCAGTCTTTGCAAAGACACTCCCCGGTGGCAGCAGCTTCCCACAATAAATGGTAAATACTTTCTCCTCAATTTGAGCACTAAAAGTGCTTTCTTACTACAAGGAAGGATCAAGCCAACATCTTTCCCATTATTAGAAGTACTGCTATACTACCTGAGCCCAACCATGCTGGAAAAATCACCATGGAACTAATAGAGAAACAAGCAAAGCCTCAGGATGTCCATATAGCTGAGAACTCCCAGAGTCAGTTAGGGAATTTGAAAAAGGGGGACATTATGTGCATCTGAACAGGGTTAATTTCCACCCCATCTATAGCTAGGTACATTTTTAATCATTTACATATAAAATTGCTGTTTACACCTCAATTTGTTTGACATGGCAACAAATAGAACAAGAAGAAAGATCCATGTGCATGTTGAAATTTCCAGATATGGTGGCTATCGCAGACTTATACTCAAAGAACCGCATATTACATTACGCAGGTCACCGGAATCTTAACCTAAAATAGCTCCTTCATTTTTTCTGCTGAAAAGCAGACTAACTGATTTTTTTTCCTTTCTGTTTCCGTGCAGGATCAGTCCGAAGGAGGTTCAGGGTCGCCATCGTCATGGATCATAGACCCAAGTCCGTCATTCGACATGTTCAGATCCTCCCATTCTCCCTCCCAGTCCAGCCACAGTATGTTATCCATTAGATTTACTCAGAACACATTTTTTTTCAGGCTCTGTCTGTGCTGTCATTACATACCACCTCTGTTTCAAAACTAAGAGCCTACTACAACAATACTTAATCAATACGAGAGCCCATCTTCACCATTAGCGCTTGATCCAGTAAAAGCCCACTCAGTCCCTGTCGGCTCTGCTTTATTAGAGGCCATTGTCTCCTCACTGTCAGCGCTGTGTTTGGCGTTCCCTTGCCTCCGGTACACTTAAGCCTGTTAATCCTCGCTAGGGCCAGCTGGCCTGCAGTATCACCTTCACCTGTAGGGCCAGCTTGTGCACATTCATGAGTGATGGTTTAGGAGCAGTGCTCTACTGTATGGACCACAAACACTAGAGAGCTTGCAGCAAAAGGCCAGAAAACAGGCAGGAGTGTTGTCAGCACAGTGGAAATGGAGAGCCACCCTTGAAGTAATAGCTCGCTCTTTTTCCTCCCACCTTCATTTGACCACATCAGTCAGTCTGTGATCATTTTCTTTCTTTTTCGCTGGTGTCTTAGTTATCCATTATCCGTCATTGTGCTATAACACTAATGGTCCATGGCCTGCTGTATTGCTAGAGGAAGTTACAAATGCATCCATCACAGCTGAGATTGATGCGTCCGAAGGCTGAGCTGCAGGGCGCAGCGTTGTGTCTACCAAATCCAACAGGTCTGATGCCACTGTCGGCTGATTGACATAATTAACATAATTACTTATTTTTTATTTATTTTTTAATATATTTTTTAAGTGTTCAATTACATTAATTGGATAAATAGTTTTCTAATATAATGCACTGCTTTTCCTTTTACGATTATGTCAGCATTGCAGAGGCATTAAAATAAAAAGTATTTCTAAATCTTGATATGAGGTATGAGTCATGAAAAACAATGAAACACTTGTTTAGTTACAGAAAGTCTCCATGTGAAGGATTTGGCATATGTCACTTTTCAAAGCACACGTTGGCAAAGTGCTTCAGGGTTTAATAAATATACAGTACATTCTTATATAAATTCATCAGCGTGTGTGATATGGACTGCGTGTGGGGGTGTCCCAAAAATGTCATACCTCAATAGGTCACATGATAGGGTGGGACAAACCTCTTGTGGTATTGACCCCATGCCTATTTGCACACCTTGACTCATGTGATGACACACTTGATTAATAGTGCGTCACCTACCCTCCTGCAGGACAACAACCTGCTGGGGTTAAAAAGCTGTGACTTTCCACCTTTTGATTTTAGAGCTGAAGAGAGGATAAAAACAAAGCAAACCAATATGAATTCCTAATAAAGTTAATAATATATAAATAAATAAAACAGCCAATAACTAAGATGGGCAAATATGCAAACGTGGATAACATCTTGTGTCACCAGAAGTTCTCTTTTTATATCAAAGACAATAATTAAAATGTCCTTGAACATCCAACCTGGACATCCAAGCTCAAGTTCTGCTGTTTTGCATCATAGTGTAATTGTGTTTTTGAAGAGATACGTGTTTGCTTCAGTTTAGTCACTCAAGATTTTCTGATCAGGTGTCAGAACCTTTGGGACACCTTTGTACATTCAGATCCAGTCTCTTTATGGATGAAGACCTTTTCTGCAAACATGAACATACAAACTCAAAACTCTTGTTATGAAGATAAATTTTAGTTTCAACGAGGTACGGAAGTGATTGAAACTTAGAGAGGGTCTCCTAAAAAGAGTTTGTGAGGACACCCAGAACCTCTTCTCTGTGTTTTACAGGTCTTTCCTAAAGGTTGACTTTACTGTGTAACATGTTTATTTACCTCCTCTGTTTCTGACTGTAAGAAGTGACCACACAAGTTAAGAGCATTTTATGACTCTTTAAAGGCATTTTTACAAAGACTGATTGATTTATAAGCTTGTAGAAGGTATACAATGTATATCCATTGTCTAGTTACACAATAAGGTAAATTCCATTAAGCTGTAAAATGCTCCTTTTTTGGTTCCTGACATATTTTAGAATAAGTCTTTGCTTGTTTAACTACCCTGTAAAACTTGGGCAAACATGAAAAAGATGTTATGCAGAGGATCCTGGTGATGGCTTGTGTGCTTTGACCTTTTAGAGGCCAAAGACACGGTCACCCTCAGAGGGAAGGGGTCATTAGCAGGCCGTGGAGAGGTCGCGCTGGAGGTTACGGCGCCTCTAAAAGATGCCCAGTGTGTGGCATGTCTTTGTGTGGATAGGTGAGATTTGGCTACCCTGGACGTGCGAGCAGTTCAACCTTTCATTTAAGCCCCTAATGGAGGGAATGACCCCAATTTGACTCCATGAGAATATGGATATCCCTTTTGTAGGTTTAGTGTGATGTACAACTTCTCAGAATGGATTTGAAGATTATGTCAGATTTCCATCCAGAATGAACTTCCCGACATTTGTAGAAGTCATAGATCCAAACCCTACAATTATAGTATGTCCATCACTTTTATTAATAACAAAGGTTTTATGGATTGTATCGTCCATAAAACCGTACAACCAAACCATAAAGCCATCCATTGTTATTCATTGGACCTATGGAACTGCAATCGTTAAATTGTTGCTGATGTTTCCAAGCAGCACATCTATATGCAGGCTAACATTGACTAAAGCAGTGAAAAGACATATGTCCTGCCCTATTATTTTTATTTATTAATTATGTTTATTATTATTATGATTGTTGTATATATGGTACGTTATTGTACCATGACTGAGAGCCCAGCCAAAATACTGCAAACCATAGTTTAAGAATAATAACATCATCACTATATGAATAAAACTGAATCAAACAGAACTTTATAATAATAAAGATAATAATGATATTATTATTAACATGTGACGGGGCTTAATGCACAAATTGCTCGTTACCCAAATATTACAGCTAGCTGACTAATTTTAGCTAGTTCATTCCTAATAGTGTTAATGCTAATGAAATTAAATTTAAACCACATAATTCATTTCAAGTTCAAGTGTTATTGTCATATACACAGTAAAAAAAAACATAGTTCCCTGTACAATTAAATAATTCCATTGCAGTTCACAACAGAAAATAATCCAATGATCATTTAAAACAACAGAAACAATTATAAAAGCACCATATGAGAAATACAGTAGAAATAAATGCATAATATAATATAACATAATAAAATCAAAAATTAAAAAATATGAGCTGAAATAAGCTATTTACATAATTATACAATTTACATTCTTTTTAAGTTATTTTGTTCTTATATAGAGATTTTAGGTGGTGATTATCAAAAGTGAGGACTTTGCTCAATACCAATGTTGTTACCAATAAATTGGTAAAAAGAAAAAAAAAGAGTTAAATACATAAAAAATCTTCTGCACCTTCTACTTTGTTCTGGCCAAGCTCCATGAGTACTGATATCATGAATTTCCTGTAATAGAATTGAATAAAATAACCAATTTGTAATCTCTAGAAAGCGCCACCCCAGATCCCCACATCAATGAGTCACCCATCCCTTTGGATCGATTGAAAATGGTTGAATGATTTAGAGATTAAGCCAGACCCAGAAATCAGCTGCTACAAGATGCCCTGGCTCCCCAGTGAGGCCTGCGATAAGACCTTTGTCCATCTTTGCTCATTTGGAATTCATAGGTAGAATAATCCCTTCCCTCGTAATTGTTTCATGGCTGTTTCTCTGCTGCTCGGTCACTCTGTGTTCACCCTCAGAGTTTAGCATTCAGCTGCAACTAAAGATGTAAGTGTCCAAATGAATGTGGCGATGTACGGGGCCACAAAGAGCACTAATCTGAACTGACCCCAGTGGATTGGTTCAGGGAAGTTGAGGAAACTACGGGACAGATTAGGCTGCAGAAAGACAGAGGTGATGCAGCCAGAGATTAGTCATGTACTAAGCAAGGATCGTTTCACCCCCTGTGGACCACACACTAACAGTGTAGCCATGTCACTATTGTCTCTGAGCCACCATCACTGTGGACTCATTGGCTATTGTCTCTGAAATCCTCTGGCGTTTCCCAAAAACCTGGACTCAAGCCCATTGATTGGCACTTGTCAGGGCAGATAGAGAGGGTGACGTGTTGGGAAAGGCATCGATAAAGGAGGCCTGAAAGGAAAATCCCCTCCCCATGAATAATAATTTGAGAAGGATTTTCTTTTTTATTCCACCCTGCTCCTATTCTGCCATTCATTCAAGACACAGAGGAGTGAAGGCTCCGGGTGGCATCAGTGAATGGCCTCGGCACGTTGATTGTCTCGTTGATGCTCATCCCTTTCTCAAACATGCAAAGAAAGAGATACAAGTCCAACCTTATTGCCTCTGGCTGGTGCACTGCATGGCAAAGGGCAGGCGGTGTGTGTTGTGGGCGGTGTGTGGCCTTTTTTCTAGATCAGCGAGGGGATTTGACTTGGCCACTCGCAGCCAAATCCAGCTATCTGTTGTGCTCAGATGCTGCGGTTGGTATGGTAACCTGCTCTGTGTGTTTTAGATGGACTGTTGTTTTCAGCCTGAACTAACCAGTAATCACGGCTGTGCATTCATGGATTAGGCCACTGGAGGTTAGGATAGGAGGGCTTCAAAACGAATAAACTGAATACTGAATCCTTTCACCCTGATATAAAGATTGTGCAGGTTTGAAATCAGTCAGAATAAAATATATATATAAACACCTCATAAACCACAGTATGAAGGGGATACATGAAGATGAAGGTGATTTTAATGGCGTCTTTATATTTTAGAGCAATCAGTTTTAAAGTTTTGACAAATGGACACCCCCGTTCATATGCATCACAGTAGTTTGGTCCACCACCTACCGTTCACTAACTCCTTTGCTGTGCACACTTAAAACAATAGAAGTCTGCGACTTCTTCTACAGTCATCAGAATTAAACACTTAGCAGCCGCCATATTGTTTCAGGACAGCTGCATCTCCATGTTTATCTCTCTGGGAATGATTTGCGGCTCAAACACAGGCCTTCTCCCAGGCAGCATATGTTACATAGTTTTCCTGCCTATACAGCTGAGCTGTTTTGATGCCCAGAGTCTATTTGCTAAGGGGAATGTAATTTTTTTTGTAATTAGTGCAACATATGAGAAAAAAAATACACATTTTTGTAATTAGGAAAAAATAAATCTTCCATTTCATGGCTAGTAAAATTAAAGATAAAGTTTTATTTAATGCTTTGACTCCCTTAAGTAAGGCGCCATATGCCATATACTTACATATCTATATTATTGCTAATATATATTGTAATATATCTATATCATGGCTAAAGCACTTCTGGATGGATGCAAACTGCATTTCGTTGCCCTGTACATGTGCATGTGCAATGACAATAAATTTGAATTCTATTCTATTCTATTCTATTCTATTCTATCCACACTGAAAGTGATTTCCAGTGGTATGGCGACCAGAGACAGGAAAGACTGGAAAACTGTGAATATGGGCCCTGGACTTTAAAGGAGAGCGATGGAAGATGTTTGGAGTTGACCATAAACACTAAATAAGAAATGAATTATTGATTTTAGGCAGAGGAAAACAGATGAGTCTGGTTAATCGTGTCTGTTTTGATGTTTCTTTTGTTCTTATGAGGGCTGTATAAAGTTTTGAGTCAAATTTGTCATTTCATAATTAATGAATCAAGATGATTGATAAAATTAAATCGGGCTTTTTTTTAACCAAAGCTTTTGTTTTCCTTTTGAAATCGTGCTCCTTCTCATCTCTTTTGTCATCGTGTCACTGTTGAAGTTTTTTGTTGCATATGAAACAGAATGATAAATTTTTTGCTCTGAGGATGAATACATTTCTCCGTCTTTCATCCGTTTTGATGACATTGGGGCTTCAGAAGGACGTGGAGGCGTGTGATTGTGTGCACTGTGGTGGAAGACAGCCTGTCAAATGAGACATGGCTCCATCAATCTGAGCTGCTGACCTCTGCACGCTCACCGGCAGGATAAATGAACGCTCGCCACCACCACGTTCGTGAGGCTTATTGAATCCAATGTCCATCATCTACTCGACCGGTCGAGCTTTCTCCTCTTAATGAATGGACCCGTCTCCTGATGTATCACATTTTGAATTATCGCTCATGTGCTAACACAAGAAACACTCGTGTTTGCAAAAGTAGCACGAAGAAAAGAGTCTGAAACTCTAATGGAAACTGTCGCAAAAGACAATTTGAGGCTCCTTTAAGCTCAAGTCTGCATTGATGGCGCTCTTTGTCTCTACGCTTCTACACCAAGAAGTGTATTCTGTGGACTTTGTATTTGGAGATAATGGGACTCGTAATTGGCTGGTCAGTGACAAAATAGATGGCTGTTTAAGTCTGGCTCTTTAGTGCGGCACTGAAAGGACTGAAGGAGATGTGACTGCAACATTCGAAAGAACAATTTGATGAGAATTAGTGTTAGCTATTAACAGCCTGGAAATGGGTTTTAGTGCTTTCTTCTAAGTGGCTCCTTCCTCGAGAATCATGAATACAAATGTGTTTCTTTTGCAGCACTGTGATGATTAAAGAGTTAAAATGTAGAGAGTTACCATGGTAGAGCCAGGTCTTTCTTTTTAAATGTATATTTCATGTTGTATGCCTTCACTCCAGGTTCCCACACAGGCGGAGGGGGCCCAGATGAGGAGGAATCCAATTATCCAGGATGGAGGGACCAAGCTGAGTCCCTGGCTGGAGGGAGAAGTCCTGGGAGTCTCGAGGATAAGGAAAGCAAGATGGAGGAGAGGAAAACAAAGGTGCTGAACGTGCTTTCCAAACTGCAGGACGAAACGCCTCGACAGAGCAAAAGCAGCAAAGGCCACTCAAACTTTGAAGATTGTGAGTTTATAAAACAAATCTCAGAATGGTTAAAGTATTTTTAGGTTGTGTCCTGGGAGAGATTTTTCCACGTGAGTCTTATAAATCTCTGTGGCGATGGCATCTCAATGGAAAAACACCCTCAGGGAACAGCTTCTTTCCCCACCACTACCTCTGTATTATTTCAAAACATCGGCAATCTCTACGGTGTCATGCTCTGTCTTTGACCAAAATGGGGGCGGTGTTTATGATACCATCAAATGTAAATAAAACCTTGAAGAAGACTGTTTTTCTCACCATAAGCACTTGAAATAATCGTTTGGAAAATTAGGTCCCCTCCCTTAACTTTAAGGAAGGAGGGGACCTACTCCCTTAATAGTACTTAAAGTATTGTTCGTAAAAACATGTCACAAAAGGCCAGAGACCGGTAACTGGAACTGAACCCAAGCGCAGTACCCAGAGCGGAGGCAGAGAAAAGGTTTTAACAGAGTTTTATTGATCAACACAAGGATAATATGTGGTAGTGACAAACGGTACAGGATTTGGGTGGCGTGGCAATGTGGCTGGGGCAAAACAAAGGGGCAGGACTGAGAAGGAAACTGGAGCGGGAACAGTCACATTTGCAGGTGAGAGATGGATGTGTTGAAGGAGAGGCGGCGTAGGTCCGGGTGAGTTTGATGATGTGGATGTGGCTGAGCTGAGTTCCTTGTGGTTCCAAGACCGAGGGACGGCAGGAGGGCAGGCAGGTGAGGCAAGGAGTGAATCCCAGGAAACGGAGAGGAAAATCCAAAGTCCAAAAGGCTGTGCGGTTTAAAGCCGTGGAGTGTCTGGGAGCAGCAGGGTAGTCGATGAACTGGTGGAGAAGAGATGTCAGCACAGAGATTAAATCTCCCAGCGTAATTAGCTCAGTCAGCTCCAGGTGGTAGAGGATGTGGTGGCCCTGCCCATGGGCGGAGACCAGGGAAGTTCAGGAGCCTAGTGGAAGTTTCCAGCCACTCACCCAGACCATGACAAAACAGTTTCAAATCTTGCAGAATTAACTAAATACATCAATGCGATGTATTTCCAAAACATTTGTGTGTTGTATCAAAGAGATATCAGCTCAACATAAAAAACTTAAGGCCCAGAGGCCAAAATTGGCCTGACAAAGACTCCACCCC